TTTTAATCATGTAAAGCTCTTTTGCATTGACTTTGTACGGAATTGTGCTATATAAATAAATTTGCCTTGCCTATTATTATAAATGTCCCAAATGCATCGCATTAATTGAAAGTAAATATAGAAGCAGCATTAATTAAACCCAAAATCAATCTTTTTGCCTTTAAACAGCAACAGAAGTGCGGTAGGTGACACCTTATGGCTGTCGCATGCCAGTGAATGGCTACCATATGCGCCGCTATTAGATCCAGCTGCTGGCATGGAAATCAGTGGCAGGTGCCACAACCACCGCTCCTGTGCCACAGCAGCTCATAAGAATTAGTGGCACCTCCTCTGTTGCCGTGGCAGCTAAAACTGTCCTGATTGCGCCTGCTGTCTTTTATAAAAATCTTAAATTGTTACTCTAACTTCTAGAAAGGTTTTTCTAAATAGTAAGATTTAAACTTCTACTTAAGTGATGATATTAAAACTTTTGACACCTCTGGAAAAGAATGGCAGGAATGGCTCAGACGTACTTGGAGTTCCCCATGCTGTCCAGGACCACTTTCCCACCGCGGCAGGAAGGATAACGGTTGTAGAAGAACTCGTAAAGCATCCCATCATCCACCTCTGGAGTCAGGTCTCCCACGAACAGAGAAAACATCTGCCTGGAAGGCAGAACCGGCAGCAGAGGTCAATAAGGAAAGCATCCTCTGGAGGAGGATGTTTAAGTCTTTGCCTGGACTCACCCGGGTTCCTGCTTTCCAAACGTGGCTCTGTTCAACTTAAATCTGGTTGGCTACAGAAAAAAGACAAACTTTATTGATCAAAGGGGTTTCAGTGAGAAGGAAATCTGTTTCTGGTTTTAGGAAACAGTGCTGATACCGGACTGGCTCCTGGCAGAGCTTTTCCATTGACTTTGCGCAAACAGCGTTCAGCGGTGGCCTCGTCCGTCATCTCTACGAAGCAGTAACCCATGGCCCCCCTGGGAGACGAAGAAATGTTCAATTTCAAAATGGAGGAGCTGTGAATACTCACACCTTCTGTGGGCCAAAACACTCACCCAGTCATCTTGTTCCGAATTATCCGCACGTTCACCACCTGCTCCCCCATCGTAGAGAAGGCTCTGGTGATGAACTTCTCATCCATGTAGGCATCCAGCTGCAAGGCAACAAAAAAAGAAACCCGTCAAAAAAGAAAACCCAGTGGGCCTCAGCAGATGGCCGCTCACACTGAGCCTGGTTCT